GGTCAAACTATCTACGATTGTAAAAGTATACTTTATGATGTTTACACAATGAAATTGCCTAACAATACATTTTTCTGGAATGTATCCCATTAAGCTATGCATGGCTGTAATTGTATGTTAAGTTAACTAATAAAGTGTAAGGACCAATTTTGGTAAAGGTTGGGAGCAATTAACTAACTCTTGGGATGAGGAAAGTTTTTTGTTTTGTTTTGTTAATATTTAATTTTTAGTTATAGGTGGACACATTATCTTTATTTTATTTTTATGTGGTGCTGGGGATCAAACCCAGTGCCTCATGCATGGTAGGCGAGCACTCTACCTCTGAGCCACAACCCCAGCCCCTTTTGTTTTGTTTTGTTTTTAATATATTTTTTTAGTTGTAGATGGACACAATACCTTTATTTTGTTTATTTATTTTTACATGGCGCTGAGGATCGAACCCAGTGCCTCACCATGCGAGGTAAGTGCTCTACCCCTAAACCATAATCCCAGCCCTGAGGAAAGGTTTTTTTAGTTGTTTTTGTTTTTGTCTTTGTGGTACTGCAGATCAAACCCAGGGACTCATGCATGCTAGCCAATTGGGAAAGTTTTATGAAGAAATGTTTAGAATAAGATTTGAGGGCTGAATAGACAATCACCAAGGGAACAAAGTGGAGGTGTGGATGGAAGTGTAAGTAATTCATGAAAGGAAGAGAGAATTATATGTGCTTCATATGACATGCTAGCAGAGCATGTTTAGGGGACTGCAAGGAATCTGGTGTACTAAATGTTAGTATAGTATTTCAGCCTATTGCTGGGTCATTTCAGACATTTACTGGATTGTAATCAAGTTAGTCATAAAGGTATCTAAGAGTCTGGAATGTCAAGTTAAAAAATCATTAAGGTTTTTTTTTTTTTTTTTAAATGAAAGAATAGGGAGTTACTACAAGTTACTACAAGTTAAAAACAACAACAAAGTGCACACGGGCCTAGAAGAAAATTCATAAGCTTGACTAAAGTTTTGCCAAGCAAATCTAAGTTGTCTTGAAGTGACTCCTCTACTCCAGGTACCCAAGTTCTCCTCAACCAGTTTACAAAACTTAACATTCTCATTTAGTAGACTACATTATATCCAATCAGTCACTAATCCACATTATTTTTTTCTTTAAAAATATGTTTTAACTTTACATCCTCTCATATTAGAGTCAACACTGTAGACTAGATCCAACTCACCTCACTATCTCACACTTGGACAACTACAAACTAATGGGTCCTTGGCATTTTTTTTTTAATCTCTACAAACCTAACAGCCAATATATTTCTGGGTACATGGCAGGCATTCAATAAGGTACTCTCTCAACAAGGGGTGGAAAGTTACCAGATTATCCCAAATTATAGTTGAAACAAATTGGTCATCTTTAATTAATCTCATTTATTGGGGAAGTACTCCACTTATAGAGGTTCCCAGTTAGGCTGCAGTAGGTAAATAGACTGTTTCAGCATGGGGATGGCTATGAAGCAAAAGTGCAAGAGTTGGAGTAAACCACACAAAACACTGATATAGATGCAGTCCACTAGTCTCTCATTGGCAGCATGTGAACTGTTGAAGAACCCACTGGAATGTGACTGCACAAGGATTCTGTCCTTGTCTTCTTTGTTCTGGGTTCTAAGCACAGTAGCCAGGACTGAGTAATCCCTCAGAACAGGGGCAATTGGCAAAAGCTTTGGTATCCTCTCTTTGCTTCTTATACTCTCTTATGTATGGCACTATGTTCCTGATAACAGACTTCTGATTGATAATACTGTGCACAAGGGGTCTGGTGAATATTTACTTTGATTGCCAAAAGAATGAGATGAAAACACTTTTCTTTGCACACCTGTTTTGAGAAGCAGCTCTGGCATTACTCCCACAGTACACCCAAAAGAGGAATTGACCATAGAATGTTGAATTACTGAAGTCAGAAATCTTCAGTTCCAGTTTCTGGTGGGTCACTTACTGACTTCAGATCACTTGACCTCTGAGTTTGTTTCTTCATTTATAAAATGCAAATAAATCCTGTCATGCCTTCTTTGCTCTGTTATGATTCAAATCAGTGAAAACACTACAAAGAGATTATTACACAGACTTCCTGAGGCCAGAGAGCTCCTCTCAATATAGATGAGGCTGCCCACTTGGTTTTTATTGGGAATCATTGGGTGAAGGTTGCATTTGATGAACCCAGCCAAATTCATCTCAAGATTGGGAGCCATCTCGCCACAAAGTCATGAAAAGTTGATTTCTGTTTTACTATAAATTACTGCAATTTCTAAACTTGCTTGGAATGCCTGCCCTTGCCTTGAACTCACCCATGCCTGGCTTTCCCTGACCAGATAACAACCCTCTCTGAAACCTCAGTGGCACCTCATAAATTCTGATGTTGGGATCTAAATTTATTCCCTACCTTGAAATGTTAAGCCATGTAGATCATTAACTTACTATCTGCCTTTGTATTATGCTTGTCAAAATCCTGTTATCTGTAAGTTCTCAAGACACCCCCGTTTGCAACTTTTTGTGCTATAAAATCTCATTCTTAGAGAGCAGGGAAGGGGAGGAGTGTTGGTCTCTAGACAGTGTTAGGAGAGACAGTCGCTGATCAGCTCTCTTTGTGTACACAAATACAAGTTGCTTTAATTTGATTTAAAATTGGAGTTGGTCTTTTCTTTGTGTGGAGATTCAACACATTAATATTCTAATTTTAATATTACTATTTCAACTTGTATGTGTTCTAAAATTTCCAAAATAAAAAGTTTGGTAAATTTCAAGTGTTGGAAAATTAGTTCCCAAAGTTATATGCCAATGGTATGAGAGGTGAGACCTTTGTTAGGTGATTGAATCTTGAGGGCTCTGCTGTGATGAATGAATTAATCTATTCATGGATTAGTGGACTATCAAAGAAATAGCTTTGTTAAAGTGAACTTTCTCTGGCTCACTTGCTTTCTCTCCCTACATGATGCCTCTCCCCACCTGCAGCAAGAAGGCCTCACTAGATTTCAGCACCTTGATACTGAAGTTCCCAGATTCAAGAACCCTGAGCTAAATAAACCTCTATTCTTTATTTAGTCTGGGGTATTCAGTTATGACAACAGAAAATGGTCTAAGACACCCACCTTTTCCCCAACCCCAGGAAAGTAATCAGGGATATGGGCCTGAGAAAAATGGTATAAAATTTGTCCAAAGTACACAAAGCAGTCATTGCTGAATCTAAGCCCCTCCCCTCCCCTTTCTTTTTTGCCGCCATTGCCCACCACAAAGTTACATCTCCAGTCCTTTTTACTTTTTGAGACAGAGTTTGGCTAGGTTGCCCAGACTGGCCTTGAATTCAGGATCCGCCTTCCTTAACCTTCCCCAACCCTGCCCCCCAGTGTTTGTGATTACAAGCATGTGACATTGCATCTGGCTTCAGGCTCGTTTCTTACCAGATTTTCCCTAGGTTCACTTTCCTTAAATATCGAATTTCTACTGTTGTAGGGACAAATGAGGGAAGGCACCGAAGATAGCAGGAAACAGTTTTATTTGGCTGCAGCCAGGTTCCGAGGGCACAGCTTTTGCTGTAATCAATTAATCCCCTGAACCCCGAGTTTAGCGAGTTTCAGAGTTTTGTAGCCAGCATGTAAGAGGAGGGGCTCAGAAGTTCACAGTTTGCAAAAGTTCACATAAAAGCAGCTTTTTCTTTTACTGTTTTGGGCATGTTAACTCTTTAAGAACAACACCTGAGAAGGGAGAGCTTCTTTTCCCCTTTCTTTCCTCCCCCTGCCAGCTGTTACCATGGAGCCCAATTGTAACATCTTAAAAAATGTAGACATCTCTGTGAAGCCCAGCTCAAGGCCAGAGGCTTTGTTTGCACATTTCTTCAAAGTATTATACTGGATATGTTTGTGAAAAACTAGTAAGGGGGTGCCCAGCACCTGGAATGCTGATATCTTCTCAGCCAGTGGCCAAGTAAACAGGGTGACACAAAAAATAGGAAGTTTATCTGAATTGGACTCTTTTGCTGACAGTCCTAAAATCAGCCATGGTGAAGAGGGCTTTTCTGTGGAGAAAGGGGGTGCCACTTCTCTACTATTAGTCTTTACACTTAAACTCTCAGTAGGTCCCAGCTCTAAATCTAAATTCTAAAGCTGATCCTTCTTAAATCTGAATCTGCCTTACCAGCTTATTTTCAAGAAATCTCCTCTTTGGACTACACACTGTGGATCCATTACTTTCCTTTCCACTAACTCTTATTTCTCACACTAATTTCCTCATTGTCAAGCAAACAAAGAGGCTTATTAGTTACCTAGGTTAACACCTGAACATCCTATTATCACTTACCTCCAAATGATCCTCTTCCCCTTTCTCAATTTTGCCCGCCTTTCTTCTCCCTACACAGTCAATATAACCCAGTTTAATATTTACTTTCTGAGCTTTCCACTTCTTCTCAGCTTCCTCAGCACACTAATATTCAGAATTAAAACACATAGCTAATTTCCACCGGTAAATTCCCTATGCCCTAAAACAACAAAGCAGCACCCGAATATTTAGTCTTCCTGATTGCCTGGTGGATTTTAATGTGTTGAATTTAAAATCGATGTCGTGACTTTCAAGTATTTATGAATTGCTTGCTGCCTGTTTTGTGGTCCACTTGGAAAGCAAAAGCAACAGAAAATAAAAATTCAAGGTGATATTAAAAAAAAAAGTAAAATAAATACATGAGAAGGTAGGAGGAACCACCAAATAATCACACAGAGCCAACAATCTCCGTAACGTGTTGAACACCTAACAACCTCGAGGCGGTTTGGCCCCCCAAACGATTTGACATTCCTAATTGTCCCTAACTAAACTCAAAATCGGTCCAACCTCTAAACTGTCTAAACCAAGCAAGCCCGAGAGCACGCCCACCTACTCCTGTCTCCATGCCCCACCCCCTTCAAGAACGCCGGCCTTTGATTGGTCCTGACGCATCCTAAAGCTGCCCAATCACGCGCGAGCAGTTGCCAGAGCGTCCCTTTACGTGCAGGGGGAACATGGCGGATCGGCTCACGCAGCTGCAAGACGCTGTGAACTCGGTAAGGAATATCGTTGGATTAGTCTCTGGCTTTCTTTTTTGAGGTAAAGCGACGGAGGAAAGGGGCCCGAGAGAGAAAACTCGGAAGTCGGGGGAAGAATGAGTCAAAGCGTGAGTGAAAAGTGCTCGCTCGTGGCGGTGGAAAGCGCCGCCGCGAACTGTGGGAGGTTGGTGGTGGTGCGCGATGCTGCAGGGGAGAGCAGCCTCTCGCCAGACTAGGACCGAGGAACACCCCGACACGCCTCCGGGGTCCGGGATGCACGGTCCTGTTGTGTCTTATGCGAACGATTTTATTTGTTAGTGTTTCTGGGATCCCCCTTTTTTTGTGTGGGGTGGGAGAAGCAGCAGCTTTGTTTTGTTTTGCTTTTCCTTGTTAATTTTAACCACCCAGGGGGATCCCGTGCTCTTGGTTGTTGAGTCTTTTTAATTAAATGTTAATCGAGAGCTTTTCTTCGTCTGCATTTTCAGGTTGGGGCTAGAGCAATGGGTGAGAAGTTTTGTTTAGTCTTGGTTGGCTCCTGTTCCGTCTCTTGGCTACTCTCTAGCAAATAGTTTGGGGAGAACTGACAACTTTATGATACGATTCTTCTAATCTTATTTAAAATGTCTACTTTAATGTCTCCCCAAAAGTCTGTTAAAGGTTAGGTCTTGTAAGCAGGTTTTCTAACTTTTTCGTTCTGTTTCTTTTTCCTGCTTGCTGTACCTGAGTGCAAGGTATATGCAAGCCAAAGGATACATATACTTTTTCCCATTAAGAGTTAAACTTTTTTTCATTGGTAGTTATATTTCTTGGCGTCATTCTGATTGTAATTTGTTGTCCCAGGTCAGGTGCCTATACAGAATATTGACTGGGTACCTGTTCCCCATGCCTATTCCACCCTCCTCCCAAGACAGCAACTTGGTGTTCTTGTTAACACATCACTCTGGGTATACTTGAAGAGTCTTGAGCCTGCTTGTGAAAAACAGATCCACTCTATATCAGTAAAAATAGGAACTTTTAAGTCTGAACCCCTAGATGTTGTTGAATTCACCAGGTAAAATCTACCTTGCAGTGACTTGGCTGGGCAGCCAGCCAACCTCCCCTCAGGGAATACTCCTTTGAGGTTTTACAAATAATAATGCTGCTGCTGGATAGAAACATTATTTCAGAGAAAATTTTGCATATTCGTATCTTGTAACTAGGATAGTGAGGACAAAATGAATATGGCCTTGAATCCAGGGAAGGCATGCTGATAATTGGATTTGAGAATCCTTTAGATTAACTAATATGAGTGAGTGCTTATCGTATATATAAATATTTTTGATATTTATTTTTTAGGTGTAGATGGACACAACACAATGCCTTTATTTTTTTATGTGGTGCTGAGGATCAAACTCGGGTCCTGCCCGTGCTAGGCCAGTGCTCTACGGCTGAGCACAGTCCCAGCCCCATATATATAAATATTATCTTTACAAAATGATACTCCCTGCATGGATTAGAAAGATGTCATATACTCAAGAGACTTTTAAATGATGCAAAACTGTTTGTTATTAGGGTGTTATAATGATTCAAGTGTTTTCAGCTGTAACTGTTGAAGTAGATTGACATATAGAGCTGTATGAACTAAGGTAGAGGGAATCTTAGCCTTTATCCTAATCATAATTATATGTTTAACTATTAACATTTGTTCTACCCTCTGGAATTTCTGAGTACAGAAACTATGTCAGATTCACTATATCTCTAGAATGTTTATATATAATACTTGGCAAGGAATTGATTTTCAATAAATATTAGTGAATGAATGAATGGATCTGAAAAACATCTGCAGAACGTAATTGCCACTGTATTGAATATGTGTGTGTGTGTGTGTTTTGCTATTCCTCATGACAGGGCTGTAATATGAAATGTTCCAATTTTAAAAATGAAAAAAGCTAGGAGAGGGTAGTGACATACATCTGTAATCCTTTCGATTCAGGAAGCTGAGGCAGGAGGATCGAAAGTTTGAAGCCAACCTGGGTTACTTAGTGAAACCCTATCTTAAAAAAAAAAATTGTGGGCTGGGGTTGTGGCACAGTGGTAGCACACTTGCCTAGCACTTGGGAGACATTGGGTTTGATCTTCAGCACCACATAAAAATAAACATATAAAATGTATTGAGTCCATCTACAACTAAAAATTTTTTTTAAAAAATTGCTGGGGGCTGGGGTTGTGGCTGAGTGGTACAGCACTTGCCTAGCGTATGTGAGACACTGGGTTCAATCTTCAGTACACATAAAAATAAATAAATAAAATAAATGTCTATCAACAACTAAAAAAAAATTGCTGGGGTTACAGCTCAGTGGTAGAGCACTCTGGGTTTAATTCCCAGTACTGAATTAGAGGAAGAGAAGAAAATAGCTACTCAGGTTAACAGAACTGGTATAAGAATCTAGGTTTATATATCTTCTGAGTACTTACAAGTAGTAAAACATGAGCAAAGCCATTTAGTCTCATAAATGCATTCATGATTAGTCAAGCAAATGTGAGGGAGTAGTGAAAAATGAATAAGAATTGACTTAGATTATTGAAAGTTTTGAAATAACCTGTAAGTTGGAGATTTATCTTGAAAACCATGGTGGAGTGAACTTTAATTTTTTTGAGCAGGGTAAAATAATATGGTCAACTAGAAAATGATGAGGCTTTTTATAATACTGTTGTAAGATTACTACACTAAAACAGCAGCAGTAATGATAAAAAGGGAAGTATTTGTAGTGTTAGGTATTGAAGATGAGTGGAAATAATCTGAAGTTACACTTGTTGACTCCCAATACAGGTTAGATATTTAACATAGGAAACAGTTGACTTTGAGTTCTGTCCATGAAATGAAGGCAGAGAAACTCAGTGGAAGTTCTTATGTTTTGATTATTAATAGAAATTGAGGTTTGAGGGATCAGGACTAATGAGAGAAGTTGGTGGGGAGTATATTAGTGTTTAGTTTGGAGATGGTAAGGAATTGATATTCTCAGTTTTCAAAACTGTTTAAGAAATACATTTTTAGTACCAAGAATTTACAACTAGAGTTTTGGAGAATTATATATTTCTTAATTACCTAAGGTTTCTTTTCTAGCAGTTGTTTTCTCATTGTTTTTTTACAGTTGAAATTACACTCTATGAGAAAAGGAATCATACTTTGTGTATGAATAACACATTGTTAATTAAACTTGAGCTATACTTAGATATTTACCAAATCTGTTTTTTTCCACCACTGCCCCTCCAAAAGTCTTTATTTGTTGCTTCTAATAGGTATTGACAAAATTATTACTTTCAGAAGAAAACAAAGGTTATTCTATATTTCTTTTTAATTGTTTCAACTAGACTGATACCAAACTTGGTTTCTTTGTACAACTAAAACATTTAGTGGGGTTGGGGTGTAGCTCAGTGGTAAAGTGTATGCTTAACGTGGACAAGGTCCTGGGGTAAATCCCCAGCACCCTCCAAAAATAATAATTGTTATTAATCATCACTAGTTTATTTTATACAAAATTACTTCTGTTTTATTCCCTTGATCAGAGATTATTATTACTAAAACTTGTTGCTATTACTGATAAAATCCTTAAAATTGGTAAATCTTTTCTAACCTTAAATGTTTTCTTTGGCCCAAGCTTGCAGATCAGTTTTGTAATGCCATTGGAGTGTTGCAACAATGTGGTCCTCCTGCCTCTTTTAATAATATTCAGACAGCAATTAACAAAGACCAGCCAGCTAATCCTACAGAAGGTAAATAAGTTTCCTATAGCTTCTCTTAGTTTGAGTCTGAAATTTCTTATAATCCTTTATTAGATTCACTGAGAAACTCAACTTATTTATGATTTCTTTCTAAAAATGTTGTTGGAGAATGTTACTACAAATTTTATCATAAAATAAATGAATTTATTAGTCAATTCACACAATATTTCATCATTCTGTTCATATCAATAGCAGATGGATCCTCCTCTAGAGAAGCGATTGTATGAATTTAACTGAATTTTACTTGAAGGACTTTAATAAGGAGACCATCACATTTACAAATTTTGTTCAACTGATCACCATATTATCCTGTTAAAGGAAATGACATACACTATGCATAATTTCCAATTTAAGCTAACATTAAGTTAAATATGTGATGAGATTGGTATGTCAAAATTAGACTTTAATCATTAGTTATGACTTTCTTGTTTCATTAACTTAAAATTAAATTTGTTTTGGGAAATTTGAGATTCTTTTAAAACCTAATTTAGTCATGTCTTTCTCTAGAATATGCCCAGCTTTTTGCTGCACTGATTGCACGAACAGCAAAAGACATTGATGTTTTGATAGACTCCTTACCCAGTGAAGAATCTACAGCTGCTTTACAGGTAAAAACAAACAAACTCATTTGAGAATTTTACTAGTAATAAAGAATTTTGATTTAAAGGAGGTATTTGATACAGTTTGTTACAATATTGAAAGTTACTTTAATATTAAATTTTAAGTTGGGTGTTTTGTCAGTTCGAGCTAGAATAGACTATTGAAGGTGGTGCTGAATAAATATAGTTGTCCAGTTTTGAGTTACAAGGAAGCCTCACTTTGAGGAACATTTCAGAATGTTCCTTGTTTTGTCCCTTTTCCTTGCAAAGAATGAAAGGAGGGTGGAATTCTGAATGTAGAGTAGAATAATAGTTTCCAAGTTATCTGGTTTTTAGAATTCCTACTACTGAAAAATATATCACAGTGGTTGGAAAGTGATCCAGATTTAAAAATTAATACCACTTTTTTTCCTTCTGAACTCTAAAGATTTAAAAATTTGTTGTCTTATAAAGGCTGCTAGCTTATATAAGCTAGAAGAAGAAAATCATGAAGCTGCTACATGTCTGGAAGATGTTGTTTACCGAGGGGATATGCTTCTGGAAAAGATACAAAGTGCACTTGCTGATATTGCTCAATCACAACTGAAGACAAGAAGTGGTACCCATAACCAGTCTCTTCCAGACTCATAGCACCATGTAGCTAAGAAAAGAACTGTTCAAGAATTCTGTATCATATTTAGATATATGCCTTTCCAACAGTTTCAGAAACTTTGACATGTGTTACCTTTGTAGCTATTTTTAATAGTCTTCTGTTTTTGCTCTTGGTAAATACACTTACAAATTTATGGTTGAACCAACTTTAAATCATTGTTATGCCATCATTTTTTTATCTGAATGAATAATGTTCATAATACAATTAAACATATGCTATAAAGTTCTGTCTTTTTGTTTTGTTTTGTATCTTTAGAGTCAAGCACTTTACCACTGAGCTACATCCCTAGCCCTTTATTTCATTTCGAGGCAGTTTTGCTAAGTTTCCCATGCTAGCCTCAAATATGAGATCCTCCCATCTCTACCTCCCAAGTGTCTAGTGTCCTCCCAAGTGTCTGGTGCATGTCCCTGTGCCCAGCATTCTGATGTTTTTTAAAGAAGCAGTGTAGCTAGATGAGAGTAAATCACTTATGCAAATATTTTCTTTTCCAGAACCTCATACCCATTCTAGTTCGTTTGCTTTTACTAAGAAATTTTTTTTTTTTAATATTTTTAGTTGTAGATGGACACAATACCTTTATTTTGTTTATTTAGTTTTATGTGGTGCTGGGGATCGAACCCAGGGCCTCACACGTGCTAGGCAAGCACTCTACCACTGAACTACAACCCCATCCCCTACTAAGAAATCTTCTCCGTCTGTAGAGTGCCTGTGCTATTGTGAGAGAATTTTTTTTTTCATTCTGAATTTTCTGGTTTTTTTTTTTTTGGTACTAGAGATTAAACCCAGGGGTGCTTAACCACTGAGCTATATCCCCAGCCCTTTTAATTTTTTATTTTAAGACATGGTCTTGCTAAGTTGCTTAGAGCCACACTTAGTTACTGAGACTGGCCTTGAACTGGCAATCCCCCCGTCTCAGCTTCCCAAACCACTGGGATTATAGGCTTATGCCACCTTTCCCAGCTGTTTTAATTTTTTATTTATTTATTTATTTTTTTGTGGTGCTGAGGATTGAACCCAGAGCCTTGTGCATGTGAGGCAAGCACTCTACCAGCTGAGCTGTATCCCCAGCCATGTTTTTATTTTTTATTTTTAACCTGCTTTTTCAAAACATCCTTCTCCTTAATTTGCTTGTCATCAGAATGATGTGTTTCCTAAATCAACTTCTTTTCATTCTGTTTATTTATCTGAAGGAACCATCTTCTGATATTATTAACCTCCTAGTCTTTATTGCTGTATTCTAATTAAACCAGAACATACTTTTATAACAAGTTTTCTCCATTTGTGTTAGGCATCTTTTTGTTGCTGTAACCAAACTATCTGGATTTATTTGATGTACAGTTTCAGAAGTTGAATCCATGGTTGATTCGCAGAAACATGGCAGAGGAAAGCTGCTCAGCTCATGGCAACCAGAAAGTATGCAGGGAGGGTGGGGGATAAAACCTTCCAGGGGATGCCTCCTGTGACCTACTTCCCCCAACTAGGTCATACCTCTTTATTACATTCAACTGTCAAGATTCATTTGATAGATTATACCACTAATGGCCCTTATGATCCTACCATTGCCCACAATCCCTGCCACCCCTGAACCTTGCTGCACTGGAGATCATGCTTTCAATACATGAGCTTTTGGGTGGACATTCTAGATCCAAACCATAGCACCATTCCACCCCAGTTTGTTATTGTTAACATTTATGTCAGCATTATCAACTATGGGTGTTCATCACCTCTTGGATCTCACTAATTATCTTCTTTGAAAAGCTGCAGTTGAAATGTCTTCCACCCTGTAACTGGTTCTACCTCCTAAAGCTTCTTTTTTCTTAATATCCTGAGCTGTGCTTGCTGCAATCTGCTGCTCTCCAGAGTTTCTAGAGAACCCTCAAGAACAACAAAGCATTCTGCCAACTAATTTCATCATAATGAAGTTCTTCTACATTTCTAGATAAAGTGCTATGTTTCAAAGTTTAGAACACTAGCATTAGCTACAAAATTGTACCAATTTTATTGGTTAGGCATGGGAATTTTTGAACTTTTAATTTTTTTGTATCTATTATCAATGAAGTTTAACAGTTTGCTATAATTATTCAGCATAACCCTATACTTTTTATTAGAATTTATTGGAAAAGAAGATTTGATCAGAAAACTATTTTTAAAAATACATAAGGTGGGGGGCTGGGGTTGTGGATCAGAGGTAGAGCGCTCGCCTAGCATGTGTGAGGCACTGGGTTTGATCCTCAGCACCACATAAATATAAAATAAAGATATTGTGTCCACCTATAACTAAAAAATAAATATTAAAAAAATACCTAAGGGGGCCACATCAATGTTTATAGCAGCACAATTCACAATAGCTAAATCGTGGAACCAGCCTATATACCCTTCAGTAGATGAACGGATAAAAAAAATGTGGCATATGTACACAATGGAATATTACTCAGCATTAAAAGAGAATAAAATCATGGCATTTACAGGAAATGGATGGAGTTGGAGAATAGAATGCTAAGTGAAGTAAGCCAATTCCAAAAAACCAAATGCCAAATGTCTTCTTTGATATAAGTATGCTGATTCATAATGGGGATGGGGTGGGGGAGCATGGGAGGAATACACAAACTCTAGATAGGGAAAAAGGGATAGAGGGGAAGGAAAGAGGCATGGGAGTAGGAAAGACAGTGGAATGAGACGGACATTGTTACCCTAAGTACATGTATGAAAACATGAATGGTGGGACTCTACTTTGTGTACAACCAGAGACATGAAAAATTGTCCTCTATTTGTGTAATATGAATTGAATTGCATTTTGCTGTTATATATATAACAAATAAGAATAAATAAAATTTAAAAAATACATAAGGCGGCTGGGATTGTGGCTCAGTGGTAGAGTGCTTGCCTAGCAAATGATGTACACTGGGTTTGATTGCAGCACCACATAAAAATAAATGAATAAAATAAAGGTCCAATAACATCTAAAAATAGTTTTTATAAGTATATAAGGTATTATGAAGGACCTACGAAGGTACTAATATGAAGAAGTCATTTTCAGCTAAATTAAAGGAAGGCTTAGTAGAAACAAACCCAAAACTCTGAGGACAGGAACCTTTCTTCAGTCAGAGAAGCTGTGATCTCATTGCTTTTTTTCACTTTCCATTCACTTCCTGGCCTGGATGTAGCCACAGTTGTTAGAAGTGTGCGGCAAAGCAAGGTAACTAAAGCCCCAGCTTTTTACTTGGAGGACTGCAAGGGTGAGCGTCAGGGAACCTAGAAGTACGGGGAAACTTTAAAGAGAGTAAGGAACTTTGGAAAGCAACCCCTTAAAGTTATTTTTGAGTAACTATTCACTGTCAGGCTACATGTGTGGCTCTGACTCCAAATAGCATACACAGATTTTAATGAAGTAGAATGAATCAGACATAACTTTCCACTGTTCATCTATGAATACATGACCAGTAAAACTCCACATCATGTGCAACCACAAGAATGGGATCCCTAATTTGAATTTTATACTCCATGTATGTATAGAGTCAAAATACATTGTACTGTCATATGTGTCTAAGAAGAACAAATAAAAGATTCTTAATCTCAAAAAGAAAAAAGAAAAAAAATGATGTACAGCCAAGTCCTACAGTGATCTTTGGGTGTGTGCACAAGAGACAGATCCCAATAGCATAGTTGAGTTTTAAAAACTGAGCTGACACTGGAAACAGGCCACAGTTTGCTGGTTGAACTTGTGGCCTGAATCCAACTGGGCTCATTGCCTAAAAACAAAATTCTATGTAGAATAAAACAAGGCACACAAATTAATACATTCAGAACATCAGGAATAGAATCCAAAATGGCTTGGCATACAAATAACTGGGAAAAATCTCAGTATGCATTAGGAAAAGAAATCAGCCTAAACCAAAAACATAAATTGTCTGACAAAGACTTGAAAGTAGCTGTTGTAAAAAAAATTTCCAAGGTTAACAGTAAATACTCTTGAACTGAAAGTTTCAGCAAAGATGCTGTAATGGCACCCCCTTTCTCCTCAGAAAAGTCTTAACTGGGTTTCTCTAGAAATCTTCACCATGGCCGATATTAGGACTGTCAGCAAAAGAGTCTCTACAAAAGAGTTCAATGTAGATAAACTTCCTATTTTCATGTTGCCCTGTCTTACTTGGACACTGGCTGGGAAGAAATCTGCACTCCAGGTGCTGGACATCCCCTTACTAGTTTTTCACAAACATGTATCCAGTATAGTAGTTTGTAGAAATAAGTAAATGAGGCCTCTGGCCATGAGCTGGGGCTTCACAGAGATGTCTACATTTCTAAGGTAAGACAAGTTATCAATTGGGCTCCATGGTAACAGCTGGCAGCGGGAGGGAAGAAGAAGCTCCCCTCTTCTCAGGTGTTGTCCTTGAAGGGTTAACTTGCTCAGAACAGTGAAAGAAAAAAACTGCTTTTATGTGAACTTCTACAGACTGTGAACTTCTGAGCCCCTCCCCTTACATGGCTGGGTATAAAATTCTGAAACTACCTGAACTCGGAGTTCAGAGGATTGATTAATTACAGCAAAAGCTGTGCCCTCTGAACCTGGGTGCAGACAAATAAAACTATTTCCTGTTATCTTCGATGCCTTGCCTTGTCTGTCCCTGCAACAATATAAAGAAGAACCAAAGTGGGGCTGGGGATGTGGCTCAAGTGGTAACGCGCTTGCCTGGCATGCGCAGGGCACTGGGTTCTATCCTCAGCACCACATAATGTTCTGTACACTGAAAACTGAAAAATAAATATTAAAAAAATTTCTCTCTCTTCTCTCTCTCTCTCTTCTCTCTCTCTTTAAAAAAAGGGGGGAATTTTAGAATGGAAATATACAGTAACAGACTCAGTGGGTAGGCTCAGTAAAATGTGGATGAAAAGAAAAGGCAGTGAGTTGTAAAATAGATGAATAGAAATTACCAGTATGAACAACAGAGACTAGATTGAAAAAAAAGTGAACAAGTCTCAGGGCCCCATGGGCCAATAAGAAAATATTTATGTAAGAGGAGAGAATGCAGAGCTTAAAAATGTATTTGAAGAAGAAATGTAACCACTTAAGAAATCCAGCAAACCCTAAGCAAAAAAATCTCAAATCTGTACCCAAACATTTTATAACCCAATTTCTGATTAGTAAAGATAAAGATATTGAAAGTAGCCATAAATAAATGACACTTTCTGGGTGTGGGAGCACACACCCGTAATCCCAGCGGCTT